CTTTCTCCAAACCTCTTTTCTCCCTGTTCGTCTCGGTCTGCATGGTTCATGCTCGCGGCTTCCCACGAAGGTGGGGGATCCTTTTGTATTTACAAGGAAGGCTCTTGTAAGCCAGTTGGGAACCCAGAGTGCGTGAACAGGGCTTGGTGTTTTGGGGAACCTGCTGGGGGTGCCAGGGCAGACATGCCCCTCTTCTGCGGGGGTTTCTCTTTGGCGCACCTGTTTCTCAGCACTGAACCTGCTGCTCTCCCAACGGCGCACAGAAGACTCCCTGCCAATGTCTTGGGTGACAAATGGGGAAGAGCTGGGACACAAAGTTTATAGCATAAAGAAAGAGGGAAGATTTATTAAGCGATAGTACATTCCACAGGACATAGGAGTGGGCCAACTCTGAGCAGAGAAGGCACACGTGGGCTGGGGGGGGATTCTATTCTTATAGGGGAGAAGCTCCCTGGCTAGTCTTTGGCGGGCTTTTCCTGCGCAGGTACAAGGAGTTGGATTTCAAAGCTACTGCGCATGTGTGGTTTCTCATGATTTTCTTGATTGGCTACTGGAGAGGGGAGTCCCACAATGTTATTTCATTATAATGATATTATAATGAATCAGGGGTAGCGCGCAGGTGCATTCTATGATTCAGAGTTATCCCAGAAAACAGGAACAACCCGTCTTAGGGGGTCTTTGTCATGTATAGATGTTTTCTACCTCAGCCCTGCGGGGCCTCTGGAGTTTCCTTCCTGACTATCTCCTGCCTCATCACCTCTCACGATGCCAGCCTTCTCTCCATGTATCTGTTCTGGGCACCTGCACCACCCCTCCCAGCTGCGCCTGAAGTACCACATGCAGGTGCGCCCCCGCCTTGGCATCTCAGAGGGAAAACCTCTGGCTTCTGCACGGTGCCAGCTGGCTGTCCCTCGGCTGCAGCGAGTGGAGAGGGACCTGCTCCTTCTCTATGCTTTCTACAGTCCTCGTTTCCACCCGCCCTCGCCACTCAGCCAGGAGATCACCGCCCAGAGCCTGTCCTGGGGTCCTCCACGCGGACTGGATGCCTTTGTCCAGGTCTTTGTTCTTCCGGCTGTTTGCTTTCTCCTGTTTTCCAAACTCATCAGCGCCTTGGCGGCGGAGCAAGAGGGGAGACGGGAGACCCTGGCAACCCAGTTCCCATTCCCGTTTTGCTTCTCCTCCTCCAAAACCTCGTCTCGTATCTGCTCCAGGCCTCGCTCTCCTTTGTCCTTTTGGGTTGACCTTTTTAATGCCTCTGCTGTCAGTTTTGGCGGGTTTCAGGGGGAGCATGGGCTTGGTCTTCCACGGGTGACTGGGACCCCCCTCTGCGCTGTGCACTCCCTGCTCCTTCTCTCTGGAATGTTCTGCCCATCAGTCGCCCCTTTAGTGGCCCATTGTCATTCGCCACATCTCAGCACAGCATGTCCCCTCCTCGGGGAAGGCTTCCTCACGTGGGCTCGCTCCCTGCAACCCAGTCCCATTCTCAGCCACAGAACTCGGGCGTCCTCGCTGGGGGGCACGACCAGCGGCCCCCCGCAGCTGTTTCCTTGGTAGCTCCTATCACGCTTCAAGATTGGCTTTACCTGTTCATCGATGGGTTTGCGGCGCCCCCTGCAGCGGCATGCGGGGCACACCGCAGACTGTAGTCAACCTCTGTAGGAACCGGTCTAGAAGGAAAAAGGGGCCACTTCCCCGGGCAGGTGGGGCAGCCAGGCTGTAAGGCCCGCGTGGGGCCGATGAACAAGCTTGCCGCAGCACAGAGGGCGGGCTGAGGGCGGAGGCTCTGGGGCTGGGCACACGGGGTGCGCAGGACGCGCGACGCCTGACCAACCCAGCCTCCCCCTCCCGCCGCTGCAGACGGACCCGGTGCGGCTGACGCAGCTGTACGAGCAGGCTCGGTGGGACCTGCTGCTGGAGGAGATTGACTGCACCGAGGAGGAGATGATGGTGTTTGCGGCCCTGCAGGTGCCAGGCAGGCAGGCCTTGGGGCTCGGGGCGGCAGGGGTGCAGGCCAGCCCCGGGACAGGAAGTGTCCCCCAGGGTGGGGCCCCATCTCCGGGGAAGCCCAGCTCGGGGCGTGGTTGGGCGGAAGCGGGCTGCCCGCTGAGCCCTCCCTGGCCACGTGCCCACCCAGTACCACATCAACAAGCTGTCCCAGAGCGGGGAGGTGAGTGAACCGGCAGGCCCAGACCCGGGACTGGACGACCTAGACGCAGCCCTGAACAACCTGGAGGTGAAGCTGGAGGGCTCTGCACGCACGGATGTACTGGTGAGAGGGGCTCTGGCCAGGGAGGGGGGTCGGGGCGAGGCCCCCCCCCCCCGCCCCGGGAACCGGCCCCTCTGAACCCCCTCCTCCCCAGGACAGTCTCACCGCCATCCCGGAGCTGAAGGACCACCTCCGCATCTTCCGGTGAGTTTGGGGGCAGAGTCGCAGCCTGGCGGGAGGGGCCCCGTGTAAAGAGATGGAGAGGAGGGAGGAAGGTGGCCGGTGCCCACCGTCCACCTCACCCTCAGGCCCAGGAAGCTCACCCTGAAGGGGTACCGCCAGCACTGGGTGGTGTTCAAGGAGACCACGCTGTCCTACTACAAGAGCCAGGACGAAGCCCCGGGGGACCCCGTTCAGCAACTCAACCTCAAGGGTGAGTGTGAGAAGGCCAGGTGGGCGCTCTCACTTGCTTCTCCCTGAGTACCCGGGGAACAGGCTGTGTGTAGGGCAGGCCTTTCCCAGGGGTATCGCAGGCAGGGCTCCCCTTCTCCAGCCTCCTAGCCACCCCCTTCTCCTCCCTGAAGGCTGCGAGGTGGTCCCGGATGTCAACGTGTCCGGCCAGAAGTTCTGCATCAAACTCCTGGTGCCCTCGCCGGAGGGCATGAGTGAGATCCACCTGCGCTGCCAGGATGTGAGCGCTGTGCTGCCCGCCGGGTGGGCGGGTCCGGCGGGCATGGGGCGGGCAGAGGGGTAGGGGGCCCAACCGAGCCCGCTGGCCCCTCACCACCCTCCCGCCTCTCACCCTAGGAGCAGCAGTACGCCCGCTGGATGGCCGGCTGCCGACTGGCCTCCAAGGGCCGCACCATGGCGGACAGCAGCTACACCAGCGAGGTGCAGGCCATCCTGGCCTTCCTCAGCCTGCAGCGGACAGGCACTGGGGGCTCGGGCAACCAACCCCAGGGACCCGATGCCTCCCCTGAGGGCCTCAACCCCTACGGCCTTGTTGCGCCCCGCTTCCAGCGAAAGTTCAAGGCCAAGCAGGTGCCAGAGCGGGTGGGGGTGGGAAGGACCGCAGCGTTTACCTGGCCATCCTTGGCCCCTGGATCGCCATAGCGACTTCCTCTGAAAAGCCGTGCGCTCACACGCTCCTTCTCCCACCCATGTCCCTCAGCCTGAGTGTGCTGGTCCCCGCCCAGAGGAGGTGGGCACACGGTCCAGCTGCCCACGTCCACCTCAGGGCCTGGCTCAGCTCACAGTGGGGAGAGGGCACACTCGGGTGGCCCCACAATGGACGCTGCCCCTGCCCTAGGCTTAGCGTCCTGTCTCCCGGATGGGGACAGGCAGGGGGGACTCAGGGGCTTTGGAAGCCCTCACCAGCGTGGTCCTGCAGCTCACCCCAAGGATCCTGGAAGCTCACCAGAACGTGGCGCAACTCTCGCTGTCGGAGGCCCAGCTGCGCTTCATCCAGGCCTGGCAGTCCCTGCCTGACTTCGGCATCTCCTACGTGGTGGTCAGGTAAGAGTCCGCCCCGCCCCCTCCCGCCCCGCCCTCTCCCGCTGCCTGGGGGGCGGCCAGCCTCTGCGGGCAGACCTTCCTGAGGGCGCCCCGTGTGCCCTACCCACAACCCTGCACCCCCGCAGCAAACACAGAGAGATCAGGCCAGGAGAACAGGAGAGCCAGCTCCGTCCCGGCACTGCCCCTCTCCGGGCCTGGGTTAGTTGGTCTGTGGGACAGGGCTGACGCAGGCTGCCATGACAGGGACTGCCCCTTCGCCTGTTTCCCAAGCCAGCAAAGATGATGACGATACAAGAAAGTTATGTAAAGGCATGGACTGTTTGCCTGGTGCTGCTAAACGTTATTACGGTGATTATATCGATGAACTCCCGTGCTCCAGATGAGGAACTGAGGCCCAGAGAACCTAAGGGACTTACTCGCACTGCCTGCGCCTGAGCACCGCACCAGGCTGTGTGAGCGGGCTCCGGGGCCATGCCGGATGGGGCCCTCGCTCACACTCTGTCCTCCCGGGGACCAGGTTCAAGGGCAGCAGGAAAGATGAGATCCTGGGCATCGCCAACAACCGACTGATCCGCATCGACTTGGCCGTGGGCGACGTGGTCAAGACCTGGCGCTTCAGCAACATGCGCCAGTGGAACGTGAACTGGGACATCCGGCAGGTAGGCCGCAGTGGGGGCGGGGGGGGGGGCGGGGCTGGGCGGGGCCAGACCCAGCCAGGGCTGGGGCGGGGCGGCTCCCGCATCCCACACCACCAGCCCCTCTAATCGCCACTCCCCACCCCACCCCCCTGCCCCGCCCTGCAGGTTGCCATCGAGTTTGATGAACACATCAACGTGGCTTTCAGCTGCATGTCTGCCAGCTGCCGCATTGTGCACGAGTACATAGGCGGCTACATTTTCCTGTCGACACGGGAGCGCGCCAAAGGGGAGGAGCTGGACGAGGACCTCTTCCTGCAACTCACAGGAGGCCACGAGGCCTTCTGAGGCCTGTCCTGCTGCCCCCATCCCACTCACCACCTGCCATGGCCACGCCTAAACCCACACGCACTGGGACTCACTGCCCACACCCTCTCCAGACATGCGCCGAGCTGGGCACGTTCACTGACTGTCACTGGCTTTGTGCCCACCAGGAACGGGGCTGGGGCAGACTCCGTCCTCCCCCAGGCTAGGGACGGTGGGCCCACAGCACTCACATCCGCCTTTCCCCGGTCTGAGTGGTGGAGACCTACACCCCGGACTTTGCTGTGGTCCCTGAGCACGCAAGGAAGACCAGCTGTAGCTACAGGATGACAATTCATGGTTTCAAACTGGAGTTTCTTTTTTGTTATCTTTTTACATTTCTTTTTTTTTTAAATAAATATTTTATTGTTGGATCATCCTCCTTCCCCTGGAGCTGTGCTTGGAGGCGCTCTGACATTCTGTCTCTTCATGAGCAGCCAAGGAGAGGGGCTTTCCTGAGATAGAGACAAATTGGTCAGGGAACGGGAGACCGAAGTCGGCTGGGAACGAGGGGAAGGGCACAGGCTCCGGGCACAAAGAACAGGGGGGAGTGGAGGTTCTCACGGGTGGGGCACAGCTGCAGGGCCTCCTTGAAGTACTTGGGAAGCAGGAAGCCATCAGCATCCCCTGGAGTCAGGATCACCCCATTGGCAGAGCGGAAGAAGGGGATTCCATCTGCGCACAGAGCGGGGATGCAGCCAGGCCGTCTGGGCAGGCCCAGGGCCGTCCCTGCTGCGCCCAGACTCACCCGCCAGGGCCAGGGGCCCGTTGATGAACACGGCCACTTCGCAGTTCGGCCGCATGCCTGCAGGGACACCTGGAGCTGGGGTCTGCAGTGCCTGGGACTGCAGTTACCAAACCAGGGTGGGCTGGGGCGCTGGACTGAGCGGGCAGAAGGGGCTGCTGCCGCACACAGGGTGTGGGGTGGCTCTGGAGGTGGACCTGGGAGGAGAGTGGGTGGGAGTCCCTGGGAGGAGGGGGGGTGGGCACTGACCACTGATGACACCAGGGTCCCCAGGCAGTCCTGTGGCCAGGTGGATGTGCGTCCTTCCCCGGCAGGACAGGCCCTTGAGCAGGATGGAGGGCCAGTGCTTCCAGAACGTGCCATGCACAAGCATCAGGGGCAGGTCCTGCGGGGTCTCCAGCGGCATCACCTCCAACTCAGGTACCTGGTATGGGTGAAGGAGTGGGCAGCAGTGAGACCCCCTCCCAGGCAGGGGTCCCGCCTGGCTCTCCCATGTGTCCTGTTGGCCCCCACCTGCAGGGAGTGACCCTGATTGGCTCGGATGAGAGGGCCCGTGCTGGGGTCCCCCGGCTGCAGGGCAAACCGCTGCTTCCCGTTGGTGTCCACCACACGCTGCACGTCTTCAGCTGAGAAGCTGCGGAACTGGGGCAGCCGCAGGAGGGCGTCCAGGGGCACGAAGCCGCCTGTGGGCACACGGGGTGCTCAGGAGCTGAACCTGCTCTGGCCTGAGCCAGAGTTACCAGGGGAGACACAGGTGACCAGAACAAAGCCAGGGCTTGGGGGGGTCACAAGGGCTCATTGGTGTGACCTTTAGAAAGTCTTCCCTGTCCAAGTCTCAGTTTCCTTAGCTGACCAGGGAATAGGCTCTGCCTCCTGGAGGGCCCCAGAGATAAAGCGACCCTTTTAGGCACAGTACCTGGCTCAAGGTGGATACTCAATAAGCCTCCTTTGCACCCCCCAACCCCCACCCTGTGCCCACTTTTAGGACAAGTGTTTATGCCCAGAGAGGCTCCCTTCCCAGTTTGCCCCCGACGTGGTACTGGGGTCTGGGTCTTCCCTGTAAATGGAGAGATGTACCTTGCATGCTGTCCCCACAGGGCCGCGGTGGGAGCCGTGGGGGAGAGCAGTCACAAACAGGCTCACACTGCCCCCTGCGCTGGAGCCCCTCCAAGCCCCTCACTTACCAGGCCCCATGGGAAGCCCCAGCTTCAGGGCCCCGTGGCGCAGGGCATAGGACAGCGCCTTGGACAGCTGGACATCTCGGTCCTGCAAGAGTTCAGAGGTGGCCCCCGGACCCCATGGTGATTCTGCCTTGCTGCCCACCCTGAACACTGAGTGTGACCTGCTGCAGGGGGAGACCAGAGGGAGAGAGTCCCTGTGCCCTCCAGAAAACGGTGTGACCCGCCAGCCGTCAGTCCCACCCCATCGGCATTTCCCAGGCAGCCAAGACTGAGTCCCTTCACCTCCTCTTTCCACCTCGGGGGAGTGGGGGGACCCGGGTAGGGGTGAGGGGTGGGGAACGCACCTGTTCCCGGGGTCTGTGAGCCCTCCTACCCCTGGGCCCTGCTGCTTCCTGCTTCTTCCCTCCGGAGTTCATGATCAAAACCTGTGGGGAGCAGTGGCCTGTGGGGACTGTGAAAGGGCGTCCAATGACCCCACCCTGCCCAGAAAGTCAAAAAGCCTCAGGATGTGAGAGCTGGGAGGGGGGTACTCAGCTCATGAAATTCACCTCCCACCCGCAAATGCCTGGTGCAGAAAGGAAAACTGAGTCCCAGCAGGCAAGACTTGCCCAAGGTGACACTGTCAACCACGGAGTCCAGCCAAGCCGAGCCCCCGAGCTCCAGGCTCGCGGGTCGGCCAAGCGAGCTGGGCCTGAGGGGGCGGGGCCGGCGCCCAGACTAACCGGGCGGAAGATCGGGCGGGTCACAGCACAACGAACGGGAGCAGGGAGAACAGACCGCTGGGCTCACTAGCTCCCCTTGCGAGGCGGCTGCCTACGCGAGCTCCAGAGCACTGAAGCCGGCCAATGAGAAGCCAGGGACGGAGGGGCGGGCACTTCCGCTCTGGGGGGAAAGGGGAGGGGACTTCGGGCCGAGTTGGCGGTGAGTCCCGGCTGGAGCCTGGAGCTTCTGACCCTGGGAGGGGTTCCTGGGAGTCTAGGGTTGGAAGCAGGACCCCTGGGTTTGGGAGACATGGACATCAGGGGGTGACTGGAAGAGGACCTCCGGGTGGTATGGGATGCCCTGGAGTCCCAGGAATGTCTGGCAGCAGGAGTCTCGGGCTCCTGCTGGAGGATAAGACACTTTACTGCCCAGGGATATGCAAGAGGGCTGGAAGTATCCTCAGTAGGTCTGTGTGGGTGACTGTGGGTACCCCAAGGTGACAGGCCTGGCTGTGACCTTCCGCAGAGCTGCCCTGTCCAGACTATGGACCCTGAGGTGTCTCTGATGCTGCAGTGCCCGCCGGGTGGGCTGCCAGAGCAACAAGTACGGGCTGAGCTGAGTCCAGCCCACGACCGTCGTCCCCTGCCAGGAGGGGACCAGGCCATCGCGGCTGTCTGGGAGAGCCGGCTACAGGCCCAGCCCTGGATCTTTGATGCTCCCAAGTTCCGCCTGCACTCTGCCTTCCTGGAGCCCACTGGCTCGCAGGGGCCGCAGCTGCTCCTGCGCCTGGGCCTCACTTCCTACCGAGACTTCCTGGGCACCAACTGGGCCAGCTCAGCTGCCTGGCTTCGACAGCAGGGGCTTGCTGACTGGGGTGACAAGCAGGCCTACCTGGCAGACCCCCTGGGAGTGGGCGCCGCGCTGACCACCGCGGATGACTTCCTTGTCTTCCTGCGCCGCTCCCAGCGGGTGGCTGAGGCCCCTGGGCTGGTGGACGTGCCTGGTGGGCACCCTGAGCCTCAGGTAAGACGCCAGGCTGGGTGCAAAGGCGCAGCGACTCAGGCAGCTCAGCTTTCTTCCCCATTCCTCAGAGGGGGGATTGGCCTGGTACCTCTGGGCAAGTCTCTGCTCAAGGGAGCCCCTCAGCCTCCCCACTGATCCCTTTCCCATACTTGTCAGAAGCTATAGGGAATGGGGGCAAGGACCTAGCTGGACCTCTGGCAGTCCATCTGGAAAGGGAGGGCCTGGGTGAGGAGACCACTAACACTCTCACACAGTGCCCAAACAGGCCCGCCGGGCCAGCGAGCACAGGGGAAGGCAGGGCGGGAAGAGGTGGGGTGGGGGCTGAGCCTCAGCTCTCACAGGCCCTGTGTCCCGGTGACAGCCCTCTGCACAAGGACCTCCCTGGGGAGCTGGTGGTGCATGAACTCTTCTCCAGTGTCCTCCAGGAGATCTGTGACGAGGTGAGTGAGGGGTGGCCAGGTCAGGGGGTGGACTGGGAGGGGGGTTGTAGAACAGAACGTGCCAGAATTCCACAACCTCAGTCTGGGCTGGTTCCAGGGTCTGCAGGCATGTGGCACTGAGGGAAGAACCTGGCTTTGCAACTGGGCGCACTTGGAGTGGAATCCTACCTGCCATTTCTGTGTGCCTTAGGCTCTTCCTCTTTACAATGTGAACAATGACAAATGTCTCGCCTACTCCCCCAGGTTTGTTGAAAAGAAACATAGCTGGAAGTCAATTTATCGACTTTCCTTGCATGACTCTGAGCAAATTATCCAATCTCCGGTTCTGGGTTTCCCATCTGTAAAATGAACTTGCCCAAGATCCAACATCCTGTGATCCTGGACACTTGAGCCACAAACTGTAAAATGCTGTAGGACCAGGGTAATGCATGTGCTCACCTCCACTGAGAGGGGCGGGGTGTGGGTGGCGAGCACTGACAGGTGGGACCCCGGCCCCAGGTGAACCTGCCACGGCTCACCCTGAGCCAGCCGCAGCTATTGGGCATCGCGCGCAATGAGACCAGTGCAGGCCGCGCCAGTGCCGAGTTCTACGTCCAGTGAGTGAGCTCTGGGGGACAGGGACCTGGGTCCTGGGATAGGTGGGTGGTTGAGGGGGAGGGCTGAGACAGCTGGGGCTCCACAAGGGCCCTCCAGGGGCTGAGCACCCACCAGGCCATTCTTATGTCTCGTCCAGGTGCAGCCTGACCTCTGAGCAGGTGAGGAAGCATTACATGAGTGGGGGACCGGAGGCGCACGAGTCCACAGGAATTATCTTTGTGGAGACACAGGTGTGAAGAGGCAAAGTCTTGCTTGGACAAGGAGCTGGGGTTGGGACTTGCAGAGGTGATGCCTGTCTGTCTCGGTGGGTGGGGTCAAACAGGGCTCCCAGATCTCTCAGAGCTGTTCTCCAGCGCCACGAGGCCTCACTGGGGATGCCCAGAGCCCAAGGGAGAGGGCCAGGGACCTGTTCAGCCTCCTTAACATGTCTCCTTAGGGACTGGACTGTGCAGAGGGCTCTGAGGCTCAGAACTCTGGGCACGACTCCTGCAAAAGATGTGAGGGCAACATGTCTGGCTCTCACTGTCCCCCCACAGAACGTGAAGAGGTTGCAGGAGACTGAAATGTGGGCCGAGCTCTGCCCCTCTGCCAAAGGTGCCATCTTCCTCTACAACCAGGTCCAAAGAAGTTCCACCTGAGTCACTTTAGGGTCCCCAGACCTATCACCACAGCTCAAAAGACAATAAAGGACTTTATTCTTGGATTCCGTTGATATGCGCTGATTCCATGAGACAGAGAGGAGCCGCCGAGAGCCTGTGGGTGAGAGAGACAGGACAGATGGCCCGAGGGGAGGGGAGCGGAAGCCCGGCCTCAGTACTGCCCTCTGCATTCTGGGATATGAGGGCCATGCTTTCTGGCCAGGCTCTAGTGAGGGTCAGGGTCGACTGTGGGGTGGAAGCTGTTCTGTTAAAAGTGTCTCATCGCGCCCTGGCTGGTGTGGCTCAGTGGATTGAGCACTGGCCTGCAAAGCAAAGAGTCGTTAGTTCGATTCCCGGTCAGAGCACATGCCTGGGTTTTGGGCCAGATCCCCAGTGGGGGCCATGTGAGAGCCAGCCACACATTGATGTTTCTCTCCCTCTATTTCTCCCTCCCTTTTCCCCTCTCTAAAAATAAATAAATAAAATCTTTAAAAAATTAAAGTTAAAAAAAAAAGTGTCTCATCGCAAAGCGGAGTGACAGCAGATAGCCTCACTGAGTGTCAGGTGTGGTGTGTGGTGCGGCTGCTTCCAGGGTGGACACCCGCACTTACCAGCCTGAGCAACGCACTCCGCCCCAGGAGGTGACCCAAGACAGACCAGGCCAATGGGCCATGGGGGCAGGGCCTACTCGCACCTTCCGGCTCGGTGGGTGTGTCTGGGTGTCCAAGCCAATGAGAGCGCGGGGGTGGGGCCTGGCTCGGAGCAGGAAATGGCGGCGGCCGCGGAGTTTGTGAGTGCATGGGGGCGGGGCTCGATGTAGCTCCTCCTTCGTTCGCCCCTCAAACTCCCTGGATGGGGTGGGTTGGGGGGTTTCTCTGCGCTGGCTGCTGGTTGTACAGACACCGAGGTCAGTGTGGAGAAGGGCCCGGGTCAGAACCGGGGCAGGTCCAGGACGCCGCGGTCTGGTCTTGAGCAAGGAGGCCCTACCTGCTCATGGGTCCTCCGGGCCTGCTTCAGTTTTCCTTCGCAAGTTAATGGAGCCAGCCCCCTTCCCTCTGCCCCAGGAGTGCTTGAGGTCTTGTCCCAATGCACTCCTCTCCGTGGCCTCTTTTCACCAGCTGTCCGCCTGCCGCCATGCTGCCCCTGTGTCTATGTCAGCTGTGCCTACGTCGGCTGCAGCCCCGCAGCCCTCCCACCCGGCTCTTCGCAGAGGCCGCCCGGCAGCGGTGAGTCGGTCACCGGGGGCCCGGTGCCGGCCTGGTCGTTCAGTGGGTTTTGTTGAGGGCCTGCCCAGCTCTAGGCTCTGCCCTAGGCGCTGAGATAGTTGTGATCTCTGTGTCAGGTGTCTTACAGCCTTGTCTCAGGTACCCCTCACCTTCACTGCTGGGGATGAGATTAAGGGACGACCACCAAGGTTACTTGGTTATACAGCGAGTTATGAGGCAGATCTGAAGGTTTAAAAAAAAAAGATTTTATTTATTTATTTTTAGAGAGGGAAAGGGAGGGAGAAAGGAGAGAAACATCAATGTGTGGTTGCGTCTCATGGGGGACCAGATCGGCAAACCCAGGAATTGAACCACTGACCCTTTGGTTCGCAGGCCTGTGCTCAACCCACTGAGCTACACCAGCCAGGGCCAGATCAGAAGTTTGAGCCCAAGCCAAACCCAATGCACTTTCCACGCTTTCCACGATTGCTGTGGTTGTGGAACATCACGGATCTTAACCCACCTGGGGAGGGGACATTTTACAAAAATGCAGACTCCCAGGTCCTGCGCTATTCCTCCAACACTCAAAAAGGAGGGATGGCTTGGAGATAGGTCTCCCTTGGTACCTGCCTCTCAGCTCCTGGTTGCTGAGTTGAAGAGTGTGGCCCAGGGGGCGCTGGGAGGAGTAGGGAAGGGGTATCTTTTGTGTTTCTTTAGCCCTTGCAGGTTCTGGCTTGTCTCCACAGGTCTGGCCCCAGGAACTACTATGAACTCTTAGGGGTACATCCTGGTGCCAGCACTGAAGAAGTGAAACGAGCTTTTTTCTCCAAGTCCAAAGAGGTACCAGTGGTTCCAGGCAGGGAGGGGGGAAAGTTTGAGCCAGATGGGGTGCATGTAAAATTCCCAGGGATGGAGCTGAGTGGCTCCCTCTGGCTGGTGCCCCGCTCCCTCAGAATGCACAGGGAGGGGGAGGTACCCTGAGGGCAGAGGTCTGGCCCAGTGTGAGGAAAGCCAGGGGTCCTGCCAGGGGTTAGTGTTCTTGACCTGCCTGCTCTTGAGCAGACCTGGACCAGGCAGCGGGCAGGCGAAGAGGGGGCAGGGGGGCTTCCTGACTCTCTGGCCTCCTGGAGGGGTGCTCGGTCGGAGGGCCTGAGAGTGAAGGGCACTGTCTAAACAAGGCCTGTGGGGGTGATTGGAGCCCTTGTGGGTGGATATTATCAAGATGGGTCCTGGGAGGGAGCATGGGAAGGGAGATGAGGAAAGTCGTGCCCCATCCCAGCTGCACCCTGACCGGGACCCCGGGAACCCAACCCTGCACAGCCGCTTTGTGGAGCTGAGTGAAGCGTACCAAGTGCTCAGCCGGGAGCAGAGCCGCCGTGAATATGACTACCAGCTCCGCTCAGCACCTCCCCCGAAGTCTCCAGGAACCACAGCCCATGCCAAGTCTGCCCACCAAGCACACAGGTACAGTACCTTGCAGCTAACCACTCCCCCTCCAAGTCTCCTGGGGAGCCTCATCCCCACACTGCCCCTTTATCTCCCTCCCAGCAGCTCCTGGACACCCCCCAACGCAGAGTACTGGGCCCAGTTTCACCATGTGAGGCCCCAGGGACCAGAGGCAAGGCGGCAGCAGCAGAGACACAACAAGCGGGTCCTGGGGTACTGCCTCCTGATCATGCTGGCAGGCATGGGCCTGCACTACATTGCCTTCAGGTGCATCCCGGCTTCTCCTGGCGGGTGGTGGGCAGAGGGCGAGAGGGGAAGTGAAGCCCAGGGGGGCCAGTCAGACATCCGCACTGCCCTTGCGACCTGCACTCCTGTGTCTCTCAGGCTGATTTCTTCTTAGCCAACAAAGGCAGTTCTGCACTAAGGGAGACTGTTGTCATTTTAAGTTTGTTATGTTTTTAATCATTTGCGCGTAAATCTTTGGTGCTGGCTGCCAGGTAGTGATGAAGTGAAAATCATGCACAAGAAAGAAGTGCATTGTGACCGGGCCTCAGCAACAACGAGGCTCGCTTGTTTGGCAGTCAGCTCTCTCCCCGCCCCTCTCACACATGCCGTGACACTGAGGTCCTACGGCAAAGGGACGGCAAGGTGGTGCCCTCTGCTAGCAGCCCACCTAGCTCAGTGATGGAGTTAGACACCCAGCCCTCTCTGATCTTCTGCGAGGACCACCCTGATGTTCAAGTGCTGCGGTCACCACCTTCGGCGGGCCAGCCAGAGAGCTGGGTTTGTTGTCACTGGACCCTGGACAAGCCTGGCCACTCCGTACCCCTTTCCACACCTAGCACAGGCATTTAGACTGAGGTGCCCACAGACGTAAAGCTGTGACGCCCTAGAGTGGGGTGCAGGGTATGTGGGACTTGGGGAACAGCAGGGTTTGGGGGACTCAGGGTTGATTGTAACCCCTGTGCAGGAAGCTGGAGCAGATGCACCGCAACTTCATGGACGAAAAGGATCGGATCATCACAGCCATCTACAATGAAACTCGGGCCCGGGCCAGGTCTGTCCCTGCTCTACCCTGCCCTCTCTTCACTGTCCTGGCACCACCCTGTAGGGTCCCGGTTCCAACCACCCCGTGCTCTCTCCTGCAGGGCCAACAGAGCCAGGCTCCAGCAGGAGCGACAGCAGAGGCAGCAGCTGCAGCCACCGCTCGAGCCTCCCCCAGGCCCGGGGATCGTGCCCCCCGGCACCAGCCCCTGAGCCTCTCACCCAGATGGAGCCTCATGTGTGTTCCCTCTTGGGACTCCCTGTTGCCCAAAACCTGTGCAATAAAGTGATTCTCCGCGCTCTTGTCCGACTCCCTCCTTTAGGCCCAGCTCCCCCAACCCAGGCCTCGCCTTGGGACAGAGCCCCGCCCTCGGAGTTCTGGTGACTGCGAAGCGGGAGCCCAGCCCCCTGGGTGGTGCGTCCCCTTTACCCTGTTGCAGCAGGAGGGGGTGTAGAGAGGGGGCGGGCCCACCAGCGGCCTCGCCCCCACCCGCCCCCGCCCCGCCCCTGCCCCGCGGCCCGGGTGGGGAGCGCGTGTCTGGGTCACATGAGCCGCCCGCCAGCCAGCCCGGGCCGGCCCCCTGCTGCCCCCGCCATCCCCGCCACCTCGCCTGCCGCTGCCACCGGCCGCCCACCCAACTCGGCTCCTACGGCCACCGCGGCCGCTGTTGCGCTGCACTGCCTGCGCCCAGGGCTTGGGAGAGGGCCGCGGAGGAGCCGCCCCCCGCAGCCGGCCCCCGCCCGCCGCGCCCCAGCCCGCGCCATGGGGCTCTGGTTGCCGCCGCCCCCGGCGCCGCCCGGCTAGGACGATGCGGGCGCCCCCGGCGCGTGGCCCCCGTGGGCACCATGAGCCCCTTGCTCCGTCGCCTGCTGCTTGCGGCGCTCTTGCAGCTGGCCCCCGCCCAGGTACGTGCGTCCCCGACATCCTGCCTGCCCGCCAGCCATGCCCTCTCAAGGTTGGCGGAAGTGGAGGCGCGAAGCGGCCTGGGCCGAGGGTATTCGCGGGTCCGACCCCGGATAGGGGCGTAGCAGGAGTTGGAGCAGGGCATCCCCCAGGAGAGGTCCCTCCCCGCTGGCCTGCCAGCCCAGCCGCGGGGCCACTCCCCCGCCCCACCCTATCCCCTGGGCACTGCCGCTGGGGGGGCGGAGCCGTCTGGGTTCCTGCAAGACCTGGCTCGGCGCCCCCTGTGCCCCTTTCTGACCTGTGGCCTCCCGAACGAGCCTGGTCCCCAGGCTTGGAGATTGGACTGTGCTGGCAGAGTGTGCCTGGCGGGTCGTGGCCAGGGGCAGGTCCCAGGTGTCCCGGAGAAGACAGGTAAAACTAGAGTGGCCCCGGGAACAGAGCAGTCTGGAAAAATGTCGGCAGTTGAAGCCTTCAGACTGCTAGAGCAGAGCCCTGGGACAGTGTAGCCCTAACTAGAATGCACTCTGAGCCCAGTTCTCTTCTCTCCTACAGGCCCCTGCCTCCCCGCCTGAGGCCCCTGGCCACCAGAAGAAAGGTAACACTAACAAGAAACTTCACATAGCCAGCACTAGGAAGGTTTGCTGAGTGTCCATCATGTGTAATCTCAGCTGCTTTGTAAGATGCCAACTATCTTTTCCTGCCCATTTCACAGACGTGGAAGTTGAGGCAGTGGGATTCCTGGGTTCTGGATGAACAGGTTGGGAGGGCAGAAGTGGGGGCTGGTGGAAGGTGGCTGTGACACTGGAACCGGGGAGAACAGCTGGTGGGCGCAGGGGTGGGTGGGTGAGAGCCAGGGAGCAGCTGCAGGCAACCCGGTGGGGACTCAACCTCACGCGTCTCTCCCCAGTGGTGTCATGGATAGATGTGTACGCTCGTGCCACCTGCCAGCCACGGGAGGTGGTAGTGCCCCTCACTCTGGAGCTTGTGGGCACCGTGGCCAAGCAGCTGGTACCCAGCTGTGTGACTGTGCAGCGCTGCGGCGGCTGCTGCCCTGACGACGGCCTGGAGTGCGTGCCTACTGGGCAGCACCAAGTCCGAATGCAGGTACCGGGGCAGGTGTAGTGCGCCTGGCCGGGCGGGATGCTGGTGCTCTGGGGGCTGACACACTGGCAGCCGGAGCCTTGGCGGGTGGGAGAGCCGCCTTCCCTCCAGCCCACGGAGTGCCTCCCTCTCCCCCTTCCTCTGTCGTTCTCTCTCCCTGTTCCCCTGAGCACAGATCCTCATGATCCGGTACCCGAGCAGTCAGCTGGGGGAAATGTCCCTGGAAGAACACAGCCAGTGTGAATGCAGGTGCCAGCCAGGGCCCACTAATGAGCTTGCAGAGACCAGGCGTGGGGGGTGCTGTGCGTGGTGTTACACCGCAGTGGGGACCAGGTTTCCTTGAGCGGGGCCGGGGTAGGCTCGGGATCTGGGCACAAGAGGAGGGTGCTTGGCCTTCCTGATCCTCCTCCTCGTTTCTGCTGGTCTCTCTTTCAGACCAAAAAAAAAAGAGAGTGCCGTGAAGCCCGACAGGTGAGTCTCTTGGGCTCCTGTTGAGGTGGGGACGGAACCCAGGCCCTGTGCCCAGGATGTAACGTGTGGGTGGGGCAGGGGCTGTACAGGTGTATCAGGCAGCTGCGGTCCACGTCCCTCTTTTCCCTTCCACTTGTGCCCCCTTCTCCTCTGTTCTGTGTGTTCTGACCCAACCCCTGCTCCCTCCAGGGAACTCTTCCTTCCTGTCCCAGACATGTTGCTTCTCCTCCTAGGGCTGACACTCCCCGCCACCGCCCCCAGCCCCGCTCCGTTCCGGGCTGGGATTCTGCCCCCGGAGCACCCTCCCAAGCTGACATCACCCATCCCACTCCAGCCCCAGGCCCCTCTGCCCACGCTGTCCCCAGCGCCGCCAGCGCCCTGACCCCAGGACCTGCCACTGCCGCTGCAGACGCCGCAGCTTCCTCCGTTGCCAAGGGCGGGGCTTAGAGCTCAACCCAGACACCTGCAGGTGAGGCTTTGTGGGGTGGTGGTGTTTGGGAAGGCATCAAGGCCTGCCCGGGAGCAGATCCAGGGCGAGCCTGCCAGTGGGGTGCGAGCCAGGGAAGGGGGAGCTACTGAATGTGTTAAACCAATATTTACTGAATGTCTGCTGGCGCCGGGGTCAGTGTACCTGAGGCTCACGCTCTAACACGGAAGTCCGACACAAGGACACGCGATGCCAGCCAGGGCTGTCGGGGTCTGGGGTAAGGGGCACCTGGCATCGTGCTGAGAGGTCGGAGATGTCCTGGAGAAGGTGACCTCTGCCTGGAGTAGAAATGAGAGAGGCATCTTGCCAACTTTCGAAGGTCTGGGCCTTCCCAGAAGCCCCTGCATTAGGCGTTGTCCCACCTTACGGATTCTGAGAAGCCAGGGGACATAGTGTGAGCCTTGTTCACCATTGTCTGAGGGCTTGTCGCCACCCATCCCTTCCACAGCGAGGCCCCGTGTGGCATGGTGTGGGCTGGGCCAGCTGGCACTGCTCAGGAGTGTTAGGCGAGAATGAGGTTCACAGAAGGTAACAAAGGGGCGAGTCCAGAGGAGCAGGTGCTCTGGTGTGGCAGCATGAACAGATGCCTCCTTCCTCTCCTCCTTAGGTGCCAGAAGCTGCGAAAGTGACACATTGCTTTTCAGACTCAGCGGGGCCACTTGCCTCTCGGGCCACACCCCAGAGGGGGCCTGGAGGGCAGCCTGGTGAGAACAGCCCTGTCCCCCAAGACCTCAGCTCAGGTGGACGCTGCTTCAGGACCTGGGCCTCTCAGAGGGCTTTCTGGCCACCCCCTGTCTCTGCAAGGCTGCCATCCAACATGGCGTGCAGAGTGGGATGAAACTCGGAGGCAAGGGGGATCGCATACCAACTTGGGGGAGAACAGGGCCCCATCAAAGTGTTGGACCACCCTGTGCCAGCGAGCATCTCCAGCTGGCCCCTCCCCGCCCTTGCTGAGAAGACCCTGGTCCTCTGCAAATAACGGGAGTTGGGCTTCAGTATGAGAACTGTGACCCCCAATTCTGATAAAAGAGATGGAAGGAGCTGTCCCTGTTATCACTGTTTGTGACCGTCCAGGCTGGTGGTTCAGGCATGGATGTGTCGCGCTGCCTCCCAGACCCAGCGCTGCTTACTCTCCACGTGCACATGGAGTGAGGCCCGAGCTCCCACACCAAGTCACAGGCACAGCCCACACGCGTGCGCTTCACATTCACGTTGTTATTGCCGGGCCCCAGGGAGCCCCTGTGCCCCTGCTTATCCCAAGGGTTTCTTTCTGGAAGGTGAGTTTGAGGTGGGAACCAGACCTGCTGAACGAATGACTTTGGCTGTCACTGCCCCTCGGTCCGAGCCTGAGGTTTCAACGTGTGCACATGGAGGGAACGGATGATCACTGTGGTCCAGGCTCTGGGGCTGAAGGAAAGTTTGAATGAATCTTCAGATCTTAATTATTTTTAGAGAGAGGGGAAGGGAGAAGGGGAGAGAAACATCAGTGTGCCAGAGATACATTGATCGGTTGCCTCTTACATATCCCCCTACTGGGGACCTGGCCTGCACCCTAGGCATGTGCCCTGACTGGGAATCGAACCAGTGACCTTTCAGTTCACAGGCCAGCGCTCAATCCACTGAGCCACACCAGCCAGGGCTGTTTGCCTGAATCTTGACATAATAGAAAAGAACACCCTCCTCCCTGCCAGGCAGCTCCATTATTGCTTTTTACTCCCTGTAGCTTAACTAACTCTAAAGCCAAGCGCCTGCCTTGTCTCCACCTCACTCCCACCTCCCTGAATGAGAAGCACCAAAGGTCTGTGGCTGGTGGGCTTGGTTTGAGAAATACGTCCTCCTCACCCTGACCCCAGTCTTCTCCACCTTCGCCTCCCTTTCACCTTGGGTGCCCCTCCCCAGCCCCTGCTAAAGACCCTCCTGACCTTTATCTGCCCAGGTCCAAGCTTAGTGGCCAGCCTTCTACCTGTAGCCTGCAGTGCTGCCTGGGGCTGAGTGGTGAGGGGTGGTCCAAAGGTCAACTCTGGGTACAAGTGGCTTTGTCCTGCAGAGGAAGAACATGCAGGGGCAGAGGTTAACCCAAAGTAGCCACCCTCACAGTGTTAGATGGGAGGGTGTGGTAGTGATCTTGCTGGGCCTGAGGCAAAAGTGAGGCAAACCAGATGAGGGAATTCCTGAGATTCGTTAGCCATGCTGTCAGGGCAATCCCATAGAGCCCAATCACATGAGGGTTAGGGACCTAGAGTCGCCGGCTCCTGAGCGCACTTACACGCACTGCACATGCACAGTGCTTCGTAGGTACCTCCTTGCTTAGTCCTCACAGCTCTGAGGTTAGCTCTGTGACTTCCTTTCTCGTAATAGACTGATCGGCCTGGGGATTTGACTTCAAATCAGCTGTCTCCCTAACACTTAAGATACGGGTTTGCCGGCCCGCAAACGGCAGGTTCATTACTTCAGTCGAGATGTTTGCTGGGTACTGGGTCTGGTTGGGGACCGGGCCCAGCCACACCAATACAGTCCGACTCTGGTCAGCGGGCGCCATGTAGAGGAAAGCCCGGGTGCTGCGGAGAGAAAAGGGAGAGTATCATCTGTGGGCCAGGGCCCGGTGCTGCCCACCATCGCTTCGATCCTATGGGGGCCCTGCAGGGTAGGAGTTATCAAGCCCGCGTTACAGCGACGCCAAATCCTGCTAGGCGAAGGAACTTGCCCAAGGTCACAGAGGCGGTCAATGAGAGGTAGTCCCTGAATTCAAACCCAAGTCTCACTCTGAAACCCAGGCTCTTTCCACAGCAACTCACTGGGAATGGTGGAACCCCAGCAGACCCAGGGGCCCCGTGGGCGGGCTTAGGGGGTGACATAAAATGGCGTCTCAAGACCCCCTCTGGGAACCCACGCCCGCCTGACCTTAACTTCACCTCGACCGGAAGTGCCTGCAGCTCTTTCGGAAGTCATTTTCACCTAACCTTGCGGACTACCGCTCACAGGAAGTAGTGTAAGTCACGTGACGCTGCCGGGGCGGAGCTAGGAAAGAGCCGCCCCTGCTGGCGTGCGGCAGCGGGTTTCACGCGGTCCAATGAGGGCGGGCGGCGTGGCCCGGCCTGGTAGCGAGGATGACGCGCCTGCGCAAAGGCGGCAGCACGACTAGACTTGACTCCGGGGGCGCGGCGAGGAGGTGAGAGGGGGCCACAGCCCGGGCTGGGGGAAGCCGGGGTAAGGGGGCAGGCTGGATCAGGCCGGGACTCCGAGTGTCAGGGAGGGTTAGGTTACGAGGAAATTTGAGGTTGGGGTAGGAGCTGTCTGGGGATGCCGCAGGGGGAGGGTTCTCACGCCGCACGGGGCGGAGCCCCGGCACTTGGGGCGGGACCTGGATCAGAGACGGGTGGAACCTGTGAGCGGGTACCTGTGGAAGGCGGGACTCTGGGGCTGGGGGCGGAGCTAGGACTGGTGAGGGGCGGAGTCTGGACCTTAAAGGAGGAGCTGGAACAGGTGGAAGGCGGAGCCTCGGGTTTGGAAACTGAAGGGGACCCGGACCAAGCGCTGGGGGCGGGGCCTCAGCCGGTGAGTGGCTTAGTTACAGTTAAGGAAAAGGGATCCAGGTCTGTCGAGGGTGGGGCTCCAGGGCCCGGGGCGGAATTACGCCCTCTAAAGGGTGGGACCAAGGAACCAAACTCAGGAGTAGGCCCAGGTAATGGCCCAGGGCGTCCACGTGGGGGCGGTCTCCGTGGTGGCCGAGCCTGGGAGCGTGGTAGGCCGAGAACCCCCCCAGGAGAGGTGGTGTGGGTGGAGCGGGCTCGGCGGGCACCCGACACCGGACCGGTCTGGGTGCCCCGCAGACCCCCCAGGGCTCAGAGCTGGGGCGGCACCTCGGGCGGAGGCACAGGGTCGGCCTGGGGGGTATCCCCAGAGGATCGGGGCTCCCCGGAGCCACCCAGCGGCGATGTGTGGGTGCCTCGGGGCCGGCCCCCTGCAGCGGCGGCAGAGGTGTGGGTGTGCTGGGCAGGGGGCAACTGGGTGTGGCGTGAGTGGTGTGGCCCGGTCCAGGCCACTGCTGTGCAGCCAGAGAGAGTCTGGACTTTTCGTAAAGGAAAGGGTGGGAATTGAACGGAGCTGGGAACCAGGAGGGAAGGAAGGGCTGAGGGTGAATAAAGGGGCGGGGCCCTGGCTGCTGTGGCCTCCCCTGACCCCCTCCCCGCGCTGCTGGGGTCCTCGGGCAAGCCCCCTTCTCACTGGACAGGTAAGTGTGGCCGCGGAGCCTGGGGGAGGGGGCGGTGACCCGGAACAAGGGGATCTCCAGGCGCAGGCAAGGTACAGTAGGATGGAATCCTTCTACTACCTGCAGGTATTCCATGCCCTTCCTGCCCTTCCGGTCGATTGGTCGGTCGGGGTCTGTTCCCGCAGAGACATGAGAGTCAGCTGGGTCCTGACAGTACTGTCCATCTGCCTGAGTGCCCTGGCCACAGCCGCGGGGGCCGAGGGCAAACGGAAACTGCAGATCGGGGTCAAGAAGCGGGTAGACCACTGTCCCATCAAATCGCGGAAGGGGGACGTCCTGCACATGCACTACACGGTGGGTGTGGAGGCAGAGCTTTTGGATGTGAGTGGGACTTCTGGGGACCAAAAAGGACTTGGGAGCCAGGTTCCTTTGCCAAGGTGGGTGACCTTGGTCAAGTCCCTTCTCCCTTTTGCCTGTTTCCATCGTTCTACCCAGCTCTTCACCGTCTACTCCCCAGGTTGGCACCAGCAAAGAGTTACATTACAGTGTACTGTGAGCTGCCTAAAGCCCTGTCCCCTTTTAGGACTATGGCCACCAGTGCTGTGGGGGGACAATGCTGTGATGAGAGCAGCTGGTGGGGGGTACGGATCACAGTGGATCCTCCTTCTCACTGGCCTTCCCGTGGTCCCCACAGGGGAAGCTGGAAGATGGGACGGAGTTTGACAGCAGTCTGCCCCAGAACCAGCCCTTTGTCTTCTCCCTGGGCACAGGCCAGGTCATCAAGGGCTGGGACCAGGGGCTGCTGGGGTGAGTCAAGAGACCATGGCTGTGGTCCAGGAGGTGGACTGTGGGAAACGAGCCCCAGGGGTGGGGGGCAGGCAGGGAGCCCGCGTGCTGCCATGTGCTGAACATGTGTTCTCCTGCAGGATGTGTGAGGGGGAAAAGCGGAAGCTGGTGATCCCTTCAGAGCTGGGTAAGAGGTCCTTCCTGACTAGGTGTAGGGTTTGGGGTGTGTCTGAAGAAGGGTGAAGGCTAGTTCGGTCTCTGCATTGGTCTCCCCCCACGCATTCGTTATAGTTCATGCCTCTTCCAAGTTTGGCAGTATCTAGCAGTGAGGACAGGGCAAGACCGTTGGGGTGCTGGGCTCCTATGTCCACCCTCTGTCCTGAACCAGGGCTGTCACAGCACTCCCAGCCAGCACTCCTTGGTGTCTGGCTTCGTTACCGTGGCGGGCAGAGGCCTGGCTCCAGCCCGGATATCTGTAGGCCCACTCTGCCCGGCCGCAGCTCACTTTGTTTTTCCTGTGCACCTCTGACAGGGTACGGAGAGCGGGGAGCTCCCCCGAAGATCCCAGGTAACACACCTTCCCGCCTCTTGTCTGCTGCGCCCTCCCACCTCCCTGTGGCCCCGGTTCTCATTCTGCCTCACTTTTCTACTGCAGGTGGTGCAACCCTAGTGTTCGAGGTGGAGCTGCTCAAAATTGAGCGACGTTCCGAACTGTAGCCAAGCTGGGGAGGGCCGGTGGAGAGGCCCCCATCAGGGACCAGACTGTTTCAAAACAAAACAAAACAAAAAAACCCTTAAAGCTCATGAAGTGAGCCTGTGTTTGTTTGTGGGCCCCGAGAGACAGAAACCACAGCCCCAGCGTCCCCTCCCCCTCTCTCAGCATCCTGCACCCAGCTCCTTTCCTCGCTTCAGAGCCTTGGGATGTAGGCTCAGTAGTCTGGGGGTCAAGATGGCCCCTGCCCAAAGGGAAAAGAGTGTTCTTGCCTGCAACAGCAACAGGGCTCCCCGCAGCTCCCCAGCCACCTCTAGCTCCTGGTCTGGGAGCCAGCATTGGGCTATTGCCATGACTACGTGGCCCTCAGGAAGGCCTGCGGCCACCTGGGGAGCAGCTGAGCTGGCAACAGTTACAGAGCAGTGTGTCCCCCCTAAAAGAGACCAACCGAGCCTGTTAGCTGCACCAAAGGCATGTCCTAGCTTTATTAAAGGGCCCGCGCCGCAGAGTCAATATAAAAACACAAAAAGTCCCATCAGTTTAATAATAATAAAAAACCCCAAAAGTGGAAAACGGGGGGCAGGGAATGCCCCTAAGAGAGGAGCACGGGGAGCCCTGCTCGTGGCACCAGGCCTGGCCGCAGGGCTCCTTGGTATTGCTGTTGCTACGAGGTCGGGGGGCAGCGATTGTCCTGTGGGAGCCACCGTTCACCTGGGTTGAGGACCCTTACTTCTTCTGGGGTGTGCTCAGCTTCTGCATGCCCCGGATCTTGTCCAGCAGGCCAGAGATGAAGGCCTGGATAGGAGGGAGGACGTGAAGGAGGCCAGATCCCAGGAAGACAGGGGGCCCAGGCTTCCCCGCCTCACCGTCCCCCACCATCTGGGGAAACCACTTACCTCAGTGGGTTTATAACAGTCAACCAACAGCTCCTGGTGGGACATGGTAGGGGAAGTGTAACTATGAGTGCCCAAGAACAGGGGCCTAGAGACCACCCGTACCCAGTACCCACTTCCAAGTGACTGGGGCTGCCTTGAGGCACAGGAATGCCGTAGCTCAGCAAGTAGCATTAGCCCCATTTGATGGAAGCAGAAGCTGAGACAGTGTCACAAAGCTGCCTGGCTCAGACCAAAGAAGGCCTGGCTCCAGAGTCTTGCTTACCCAATTGGCACTGTTTCCAGGCAGCCCACTATGCCAGCTCCCCTGACCCGACACTGCTAACCCCATACCCCCAGCCCCTTTCTCACCTTGACCCTGGCAGCCCGAGTATCATCACTCTCCATGTCCAGGAGCTCATCCACATCAATCTCCAGCTCCGGGATCTCCTCTTCCTGGGGTGGGGGAGGAGGGAGAGACAAGGGCCTGAGTTGGGAGAGGGTGTGAGAGGGGCTCACTGGCTGAGGCCCCTCCCCTGCTCTACTGCAGGGCGAGCCCGCCCTCTCTGCCCAGCAGACAGGAGCAGCTGCTCCAAGGAAGAAAACAGACCAGGCCCGTGCCAAGGCAAACTGCCCAGCTGGGCGGGGGGGGCCTCCTGTCTCTGCCAGTTGGGCACCTCGGGTGCCAGACAGGGCCAGTTAGCTAGGTCTGGGGACCCTGCGGATGTGTCTCCCTAACTTTGGACCCCCCATTTCAACCAGAGCAGGTGGGGCCAGCTGTCCCAACTTATCAAAGCCTTTTCCCCTCCCCCAAACACCTGTCACAGCTTCCCAGGAGTGAGGAGGAAGTGAAGGGTGAGAGGTCAGTGAGAAAAACCCAGGTCTGGTAAAGGGGAAACAAAGAGCACATGCTTTGCTGAGGGAGGGGTGTGACACCCCTCCCCCCAAAGAAGTCTGTCCAGTCTGGAGCCAGCTGCATTCCAGGGCTGGGCTAGGGTAGGCAGCACAGGACAAGCCCACTCCCCGCCCTGCCCCCAGGGGTCTGAGTCACCCTTTGAGCAAGGAAGGAGTCATAGGGTGGAGAACCAGTACCCACAGATCGGGCTAGCCTGCCCCGTGCCAAGATGGAGCTACATGCCATCCCATTAGGATGACCCAGACGCTTTAGGGTCCCCCCACAAACCACACTAGCAGGCACTAAACAGACCTCCCACTGCCAGCCCAGGCTATCCCCATGCCTCCTGCCCAAGGCCCAGGCTATACCAAACTTGACAAGGTAGTGGCACAGGGAGAAGACTGGAGTGACTTAGGTCAGACAAAAAAAAGAGCGTACAATGGAGGCGGGGAATAGACAGAAGGGCAGCGCGGGGAATTGGTGTGCCCACAGACTCCAGGTGACAGGCGGGCTCAGAGTGGGGTTCCCAGGCGGCCGGACT